ATGTTAAAAAGGCGATAAGTTGGGCCCAAGTTACTCGGGCTAAGATAAGCCAATGTAAAATCCTGGATGTCTGCGCCCACCTACAATGACCGATAAAAGGTGGAACTTAATTAAAAACATAAAAATAAATAATATAAGCCTATTAAAAGAGAAAACAAAGTTTGGCATAGAGTGGATTTGATCCCGGGACCTTCAGCATGGTAGTCAAGCGTTTAACCAATCCAGCTACCAAAGCGCTCTGGTAGTTATAAATATTGTATACATTCGTAACATTTTTGCAATGCTGCAATGATAGCAGATTAAAATCACGTTATGGCTGCCGTAATGATAGCCAATATGTATAATATTTATCTGAATGAAGGTCAGTTAATTATTCTTTGCAAAAATGTCGAACTTGAAAAGACTTGAATCTGGGACTGAGAAACTTTTCCAATTTTGTTAGAAAATAGATAGTGGATATTTTGCCGTCACCGGCAATATACCTCCTCACCCTATTTTGCCGTCAGTGGGCTGTGATTGGCGGTTTTCATGGGAAAGTTACATTTATTCATGAGGAAAGAAAATGAGGTCATGCTATTGTTGTTACTAAGGGACAATCATATAGGGACCAGGGCAGAAATCAGTCTCGATAATCACAGTTAGAGACGTAAATTCTCAAAAATCCCTTGGAAATGTTATAATAAAGCAGAATACTTGAATTATTTGTTGTTGTCCTTTTTAGGAAAACGTGCTGTCAGAAAACTTATCCAGTAACACATCGAGTATACAGTGTTTATATACATCAGTGAAGGGCAAAACCTAATATTGAATATGCATCGCCCCGACGCAAATTCCATCTTATGAATAGTTATCCAGAGTTTTCACTGTTTTCTCAAAAGAGTGCTATCCAACTTAAAAGCTTGTTCCTTCTTACAATTGTAGAGTTAAATATGTTTCCCACTGATGTATATGTGTGCTGTTTTTATTTCATTTTACCTGTGCAGCTGCAATTCCTTGTAGTCATTCATTGGAAGTTGGCTGTGAATCATCATGTGCAACAATACACGGCATATAGTGAAAACATTGTATAAAAATGTAAGTACATATGTTTACTCAAACCTAACCATTCCACATCCTCCAAAATTCACCAGGCTGCAGTTTTGTAAGTGTTTGGCAGGACTGTGGAAGACTTACATGTAGCCATTACTTGACATGAGCGAGTCTTGGTGCCTCTTAACCAGTTTGCGCCCGGATTATTTCGACATTGACCAGACCCAGGTGCGGGATTGTTTTCACGTACCTCGATGCCAGACGGGTTCAGGCGGTCTTCTGCAGGTTGAACACCCTGATATTTCCGGCCTCGCTCGCTGGGAGCGGGTCGCTGACAGATATTTCCGGCCTCGCTCGTTGGGTGTTTATCCGTCATCCGTTCGGAATACCGCAAAACCTTTGCATGTATACTTGTCATCAAACGTGAAGTGGTTAAAGTTGAATACTTGTTATTCCTAAACTTTAGATTTACCCCCAATTTAAGAAAATCATGCAAGAAGTCAGAAGCAAAAAAATCGCTGTTATGTCAATGATGGCCATGCATAGAATGCATCACATTAGTTAGATGACCATGTTCATTTGTATGAAGAGAATATTTGATAGATTTAGGCTACAGAAAACATGCTCATGATTTATTTACATGTATGGTTGTCAACATTTTAGAGTTTGTTATGGGAACCATGGACAAAATTTGGTATGGGACCAAACTGACCTGCAATAAACATCAAGACAAGTCACCAAATTTCATGTAAAAACTCATGTTATTCATATATATAAATGCCATGAATTTATTAAAATATAGCAGATGGGCACATTGTGCCTGCCAGTATCTTGAGTCATTCAATGTTTGTGTCTATCTGATGCAGGGTTTCACCTTGCATTTATTCTCTGCTTATTTCTGATTCCAACAGCTTATCTTCCTTGGTCGTGATTATCCTAAAGGAGAGCAATACTTCAGAGACAGGTGTCATGCTGCCTTCATGAGAAACAAAGATGTCACAGACCCAAAGAAAATACAGGAACTGATTGCAAGAGGAGAATATGTCATCAAGGAACTTGAAGCACTTTACATGCTCAGGAAGTATCGGGCATTAAAGAAGAGATATTACCAGGATACGTAGCTGATAGTAAGAGTGTCACGGGTAGACATTGTAAACATGATGATCAAGGTCTGTGAACTGAACGTGTCATGATGCTGGTTGATTGAGTACATTACATTGATGTCAATCATGGCACTACATGTAACTAGGATTGGAGGAAGGCTCTGATCTTGTTCCTAGAATCATCTCTACAGTCAGCTAGTGCTTGGCAGTACTGGCTCATTGACCCAAGATACCTGTATCGCACAAACCCTTTAGTGTGCATTCTTATTGTTAGGCAAGAAAACCAGGTTATCACTGGGTTGCATGATGTTTGAAAAGATGTTGGTATCAAACGTTTAATTGTAATGTTTAATTTCCCACATATGGTGCTGCAGTGACAGGGTGGCTGTATTTCATGCGCTATCAAATTAAGACTGCCTGAAATGCTTCAAATTGTTGCATGCAAAATGTCTGCGAACAATGGGCATGTGTGTTTGGGACATGAGTGACTCATTCTCTTAATCATGTCTAAAACGTAAACTCTTAATGTTCGTGCATCAGACATTTGTTAGAAACAAATGTGTCTCAGGCATTCTTGGTTTTGAGTGATAAATCCAAATTTCTGACAACTGTTGCAGATGTTAACAAATACTGACTACTTCATGGGGAAGTACAACTAGCCATATTTATTCCATTGTTCGCTCAGGCAGGCGGAGATGGGTAACGACAAATTTTGCATACGACCTTTCACATCCGGCATTTTCGTTTGTAGGTGTCCTTGTTCATTCACGTTCGTTTTCACATTATTAAACAAAATTGTATATTCTAAAAAGACATTTTAGTCTCCGATTTAGGTTTCAGTTTTCACCCAATGACCGCCACAAAGTTATTACATAAATTTTTATCTTTGTACGAGTTCACCAAGTTCCATAGTCCACATGTATTTTAGATTTCGGAGGTGAGAAGTCAATTTTTGGCATGATATTTCTCTTTCACGTCATTTGATTTTTTTAAATTTTCATAAATTGAGGTGCTAGTAAAAATCTTACAAAGGCCTTGTTCGAGGGTGATTTTCTTAAGAAATCAATGTAAGAAAAATAATTGCAATTTTTAGAATTTTCCTATATATTCAAGGGTTCCAGAAACGTACCACCAGGGGTGAACTTTCAGGCTCTTTACTCATATTGTTTCAATTTGAAAATGATTGGAAGTAAACTTGGATGATCTGGGGTATTATAATGCTTGATATGTCAGTATTTGGCTAATTCTCATCATTCATGAAACACCTTGAATATACCCTTATCACTGAAGAGTTTTCAATTGAAATGTACAGTACTGTACCTTTAAATTGAAAAGTCTTGATTGGTTAGGGTATCTTCAAGGATGTACATGAACCAAGGTGGAGGTACATAATCCCTGGCAGATCAGACATACAGTCTTGAGTTTGCTTTATGGTTTAAACCGATACCGTTCATGACATGTGTGATGTGTGCTGTGCATGGTCTTACCACTGGCTTCAGTATCCACATAAGGTAGCATTCAGATAGGTATATTTCAAATACCTAGCGAATTAATGTAAAACACTCATTGCACTGTTAGATTTAACTCCGTAGTTCAGGGGCTGCTGTTGAACCTAATGAGCAATTTGATTTGTGAATTCAAGTTGTTAATAGTAAGACTTCAGTGTGAGCAGGATGCTCATACATGTACATAGGCAATGCTCACTACAATGCTGCCAGCAGTTAGCAGTCTTCCTATAAATTTGGTAACTCTTGACTGTATGTCAAGTTGGATCCAGCCTTTAGCTACATGTACATGTACTTTTTTTCCATTCAATTTCTCCTTTTAACCATTCTACAAGGGTCAGAGAATCAGGAAATGTCATTTAATATTGGATTTTGCTCTTCAACAACATATTTTTATGTCATTTACTTACTTCCAGAAGGCCTCTGTAATGTATTCCTAATGTTTTGGGTATCAATACATCTTCAATGGATTTTACGTGTATCTTTTTTGATTTTACTTTCTGTCCAAATTAGAAAATGTAATTCAATGGATCGGATGTCAGCATGGTTTCTGCTGAAAGGTCTGTAGAAGTAGTCAGCCCCATGGTCCTTTGCCTGTATAGACCATTTGCGCTGCAGCCATGTTGGAGGTGTGTGCTTTTGTTCAACAGGGAGACACATGACTAGACCTCTTTGCATTCAGTGTGAATGAATTGACATAACATAACCTCCAAGATGGCTGCTGGTGCAACTGCAATACTCAAGTTGATCGTTTGATTTTATAATGAAGTGTTACATGAGAGAAAAAAGAGTTGTCTATTTCCACAGCTTTATCTACACAAAATAAACAGTTGAAAAGTCTAATCATTTCAAATCAATGTGCATGTGGATTGTCTTCTCCCCCCCCCCCCCCCCCAGGTTTTGGGGGTTGGGGGGGGGGGCTAAAAAAAGTTCCACTCTGTAATCAGGTTATTCAGCAGTGAATTAAAGGATTGTGGTACATTCTTGAGCACTAGCCCAATACTGATTGAAAACATTGAAATGACTGATATTTAAAGATTATTTTTTATAAACTTTCATCTTTTAATCGCTTTTCGATACTGAATATTCAATGCTTTCTGAGACCTGAACGGATGACAAGAACATGCAAGGAGTGAGGCCGTAAATATGAGTGTGCTGAGGGTGATGGCTTCAACCCACCTTTTATGAGGTCCAGTGCAAAGTAATCCTGTGCCTCGTTCCGTTCTTGTCAAAATAATCCCGGCGCGAACTTGTTAAGATGTCATCCAATGATTAGACAAGCAACTATGCTCCTGCATAAGTCTAAAGCAGTACACACACTGCAACACACATTAAGTAAACTTACACTTCTTGGAAACTATAATCAGGTTTTTTTAGCTGTTCATTTATTAATTTTTTCTGCATTTAAAATCTCTGAGACTGCAATGTACAGAAATGTATCATTGGAATATTTCACAATGTTAGATTCACTTGTGCCTGCTTTGCTATTCAGAACCGACACACTGCCAATCATCATGACTAGTAACACACATTCTTGTATTGTATTTACACCATAAACATGTTACAAACTTTCCACGTCCTTCAAATACACCGTATGAACTCATTTTAGCAAAGTAATAAATGTACTCTAACGATAACAAAATGCAAATCCTGCATGGTCAACATTTGACCAACTATTTACAGTAGTAGTATAATCAATTCTGAAACTGTATTGAAAGCGATTCTTCTGGTGGGACTTTGGTGAAAGTTCGTGACAAAATTCACTTTAAAATGAATGGCCAGAGAATTAATATCCCTGTCAACCCTTTGGTGCACAGATTATTTGGATTAGATGAACAATTTAATGTTTCTTCAGCAGTCGCTAATGACCGCCCTGTGCTGCACAGGATTAAGCTTAGTACTTGTACAACTATAACAAGCTAAGCAGTCACAGACGATCTTCCATACTGTCAAGAGTAGTTTGATAGGGGCTCTGTTTACTCCCAATAGGAGCATGTCCACACTGTAAAACCTATGCAGTACACTGCATCATCATCACCAGCAAGGCAAATGAACATGTCACCATTCAGCAAGGCATTTCTTTTTTCAAGTGTTGAAGCCTTGGCAGCTAAAATGATTGTTTTTTCATTCAATGTTTCATTCAATATTTGTTGAAAATCAAGGTATTGCTCAAATGTTGAAGCATGCACCAGTGGCCTGATATAGACCATTCCAAGCACTGCAATTTCCATTTTTGTTTTTAATTTGGTAATTTATTGGGGGGGTGGTATTTTTAAAACATACAAGTTAAACATACAAGTGGAAAACATGTCAGTGGAAAATATGTCAGGGAAAAGTGAGATGACAGTGAGATGACAGAACAAAACAGTCAAGTGGAACACAGCTGAAGTCAAAGTCAATCCAATAGGGTATATTTGAAAGGAAGTACATGTACTATTGTCAGTAACCAACCAAACTACTAAACAAGCAGCTTCAGTTCACACAATAAAACAGACCTATATTCCAGTAAAATCCACAATAAATAAACATACTAATTCACAATACTAACGGTTAAAAATCATAAACTGATATGAACAATCTTCTGATAGATTGATGCAGTGAGCTGCAATCAAGGAATAGGTGAAGCGTCACCAGTGAAGGCACGGAATCTATACTCCAATTCCAAACGTCTATGGTTGATCTCCCGCTGAAGGTCACTAGCCTGGAACAAACCAGCGACAATCAATGCATCAAAACACACAAATCAAAGCAAACATGACAAGTGTATATGATGACACATTTCAGAAAGGTTCATGTTATAGACCTACAACCCACGACATGAAGTTAGATAATGAACATCTCTATCTAATCTGAATAAATAATTGGTCCCAATTTTAGTGTGTGGATGCAATAAAAAAGAGATGCCTTTAATAAAGTAATAATGCATGTGGACCCCTGATAGTCTGTACACACATTGTAAAATTTAAAATCAATTTCTACTCTGTAAGACATGCGTGCATGGGGAAGTGGCTGATAGTGTAGCCTTGTATTCACGAAACTGCATGGTGAACCTAATGGGCATAAAGACTCTTCGTGGGTTATGTTTTACCCCCTTCACAGCACAAACACTTCTTGTCAAAGCTGCGGGATTATCCACATACATATGCCATGAAAGCTGTGCATTCATCCTTTCAAACCATACTGCTATATGAACAGAATCAAGTTCCCAAATACCAAACACTTTGCAACTTGACACTGCAACTTGACCATAATAGCAGTACGCTCATTCCAACATTAAATACTAGTGCCACAGTATCATAGTGCAGTGCAGACAAACAAATTGAGGTATTAAAAGATTGGCATTGATTTTGTATGTTGGTGATAGTAATAAGCATATCTGAGACCAACACCACAATGTGAAAGGTTAATACATGTTATGACTGCACACTCAAATCCGTTAGTGCCACCTATATATATTCACAACATAAAACTATTATTCAAAAAGTGCATCGACTTGTGCCACTGAAGCAGAGCATTGCAAAAAACTTACTATGTACACAATATGATGTCAAAAAGATGAAAGCTCAAAAGAGCTTCAGTTGGGAAAATTGAGCAGGCTTGGGAAGCTATGAGAAAAGAAAGACTTGAGCTTCAATAACATTCTCATATCCTAGTCACAATGACCAAAGAATTGTTGAGAGGGTCAAGTGAGGATACTACATCATGTAACAATGTATCTGACACACAATGTATGCCACTGATAGCTAGCCACATTATGCACACACAAGAGCACACAATGTGTGCTGTTGGTAATAATGAATGAACTGCCCTCATCATTTGCGTACCAACAACATATAAAAGCATAATACACACACATACGGATATTACAAAATGCTTAGATGACTCAATGATATTTGTATCAATTTGTGTATATTTCTTGAGACAAATCAGTGAATAAATCAAACTATAAAACTATGTCATCTGCCAAGTTTCATCGAGTTAACTTGTGCAAGTCCCGTTTAAAAATGCCTTTGCAACCCTTAAAGCTCACTTAATTTGGTTGAACCTGTCATAGGTAGAGACAGAATCCAACACACATGAACACTCATCTCTCAACACTCATCTCCAATCTGAATTGTTTGGCACATTTATTCCTTACAGAGTGATGACCACACATTTGGGTAAATAATACATTTCAAGATAGACACTCTTCAAATAATTAGAAGCTAAATTTATGAAATGGAATTATTCCAAATGAGCCCAAGTACTGCAAAACAGCAAGATGTGGTCTGACATATAGCTCACAAGTTGCGATGAGTTTCAGTCAATAGAACGTAAACCCAAAGACCTACCATCTTAAGATCATTCTGGGCAGCTTCCATTGCCTCACGGGGGTTGCCACGAGGTTGTTGTTTCCTCTCTTGCACCTTCAGATTATGACGTTTGATTCGATCCATTAGCTGCCGATCTCTCTCCGCTCTGGAATGACATTGAATCAGACATCTTACATGTCCAGCTACTTTTGGATGTACATGTATGGTGTCACTCTTTGGTTTAGAGTGTAATTTCAACACATCTGGAAATCGATTATAGTACTGATATCAGTGTCCAGGCTGTTTTCTACCATGTGATGACTATTTGGTAAGTAGTGTTTACATATAGTGGGTCTTTCTAAGACTGCCAATGACAACTGATCAGTTTGATTGCTAAGACTGACTCCCTTACCTGGCCTTGTCTAGTTTTTGTGCAGCTTCAGGGTCGTTTCTCTGCTTCATGGCCTCGTGTTTATTCTTGACCTCTTGCTGTAAGTCAACAACAGAAAAACTCGGGTAATAATTTACATAAGCAAATGAACTATTAACACAATGATGTCATTTGCTTATGGTTGTCTTGTCTAATTCTCTATTTAAAATGACTGAAGGCTTTATACTCCGTGAGAAAGTGAATGCGAATGTGGATTTGTGACGTAGTGACACAAGTCAAAAGTTGCCATTTCCGCAACTCTGGCGATTCTTACAGCAACCTTAATCAGCAACCTTTATCATTGCATTTTGTTCACACAGTATGAATCAGCCTTCAGATTGTTAATGCATGTTAAGACAATACCTTGATCCTTTCTTCTTTGTTTAGGATCTTCATGTAGTTAGGGTCTGTATCATACGGCGTCTTCAATGGGTCAGTAAAATCTGAAAATCAATCAACATGAATTACTCACAATTTAAAACTATAATTGCCATTGTCATATAAAACTCTACATGCTCCACACTACTAACGCAACAGTTTAATACTGGCAGCTGTTTTGAAAACATCTTTCACCAGTATCACAATAGTGGATCCAAGGGGATCCCCCAACCTAGTGTCCAATGTTAATTATATGTATGTTGACAATATACAAAATCTTTCAATATTCCTCCATTTTTCAAGTTCTCTGAATAATGTCATCAGTTGATTTGCAGACCTCATTCACTGCTTCAGGCGTTTGTTCTTTGTATGCATTGACTGCACTGCCTTATCCCGGCCTCTCCCCTTTTGAAGCAAATCCTGGATCTGCCACTCTATTACATTACAATGTGCCTTGATGTATAGCTCTTGGTTGCTGCCTGTGAGTGCTTACCAGATGTGAGATGTCATTCAATAATGCCCACAATGATCTGTATGACAGCTGTTCCAAGCAAAGACACAATCCCCCATGAACCCTAACTCCCTAGCATGATTTACTAGGAACCATACCCATCCTGGCAAATTCAAACACCATATGGGAAACTGCGCACACATACTTCTGTCTTTGATTCTGGAGGTGTGCCAACCCAATGTAAAAGACTGTCAGTTTAGGGGTACTGTACCCATCCTGACAGATTCCAACCAAACATGCCGTTGGTGTTTGATGTGTTCAGTTCTGTTAGGGTTAAAGCTAAATAAATCCTATCCACATCCACAGTGAGCTTGACTCACAAAGAAAAAGGTCAAGTAGCGAGTCAAAGATAAACAAAATCCAACGACTAGCACTATAGAACCAATACAAGCAATCAACCAACAATCCCTGGCAGCATGCAAACTTGATTGAACACCTCCATAAATGTCAGCTACAAACACAGGTTAGCTAAGTCTGAACTCAGTGCAACAGACAATGGTGACATTTGGCATTGTTATAAATATGTGAGACAGGTGGATTCCAATGAGTGCAACAGAACCAGGACATCAATGGACAATGCCAATGACTTGCAGTACATGGCTTCCATAAGCGACAATGATTCAAAAGTCACAATTTATACAAACACATGCACCCCTTTGTTAGTAAAATATGAATTTACATGTAGTGAGACTGAACAAATGTATTATTATAAGAACCATGGCCTCTGTGCAGAATTAAGTGCATGGCACTGTAGCCTCAAGACACAGTGTGTTTGCATGGTTTATCAGGATTCGACCTTAACTTATTTTTTCACAAGCCAGCCAGGCTACTGAAACAGACTCTTAACTAGCCTGTGGGCATTTTTCACTAGCCCGCATGTTTTTTTCATTTATGGAGTGTCTCATTAACAACAATGTGCATACATGTAAAACGTGTATCCTGAGGCAATCTTGTCAGTGTCTTTAATAAACAGATCTGATAATTTAACCCTAAACAGTTTTTAAAATTAGACACATATTGATACAGGTTTGTTTTCTGAATTAAAATTATTTTTCTTCTTCCTGTCCTTTCACCTTTGCTGTAGCCCAATAATTTTTGACTCGCCAGCCGGGCTACTTAAGGAATAGTTTGACTAGCCCGCCGCTGTTTTGACTAGCATTTGGCTAGCAGCCCGCTAGTAGCCCACCTCTAAAGTCGAACCCTGGGTTTATGGAGTATGCACAAGACAAATTTGTATCTAAATGTGAAAACCCATAGCATCTCCCAGTGACAGGAATGCATGAGACCATGTATACATCAAGGCCTCAATGGTGACACCGACAGAGATAATGGTAGACACTTGATCACACTTGTGCATAGAGTCCATATTGTCATTTCAAATCAAACTTGAAATACATGTAACAAAACAACTTGACTCAGTCGTGAAGGGTTACAGAAATAGAAATAGAAAACAAAGTACAAATGGTTGATTGCAGGCAAGCTATTTGCCAATGATGTCACAATGAGACAGGAGGGTTGGACTGGGCAAGGCACAGGGACAGGTTTTTTACCTCGTCCACGGTCTTGAAAAATTACAGAAACACAATGTACATGTACTCTGAAATCATCATTTCTCGTGTATTCCTTGTTGCACTTTCCTTTTTCCTATTTCTGTAAACCTTTGAAACACAAAATCAAGATAAGAACATGTCCACATCAACAAATACATCATGTACTAGAACGCAAGGAAGTAGGGACAATACAAATCAATAGGAGTTCTGCAGACATGTGGCTCGTAGTATGTTGCATCATCATTTGATGTGATCATTTCAGCAGGCACACATGATGCATAGTGTGCCAATGAAATAATCACACTTTATAGTGATGTATTCTACAACATTTCCAAGCCACATTTGACTCTTGAATGGTTTCCTATTGAATCGTTTCCTATGGTCCCTAGTATTTACCCTTGTACTTCCACGGCATGCCTGTCAAGATAAGATAGGAATCAGGCATTAGTGTCAATAGGCCCAATAAGCACACATGCACATGACAACTTTGTCACATGTATGATTGGGCATACAGCAAGACTGGACTAACAATGTTCTTCACAAATTTGAAAGTCTTCACTGGTTGTTTTAAGTAAACAGAACCCAACAGTTCACATATATAGAGGTAGAGTCGGATCAAATGTCCTGTAGGCCCTACTCCACCCTGCTGGCACCCATTTCTTGTAGATGCCATTAAAGTATGTACCAAGTACTGTACAAATCAAGCCATGCCAAACTGGTATCTATAGGCCCTAGCTCTAAAAGCCTGTTGGCACCAAGGGCATCAACCGCTTTTCATAAGTGGGGGGGGGGGCCCTACATGTCTACCTCGATCAGAACTATTTGTTTTTTTGGCAAAGATCATCATTTGAAAATCATTTTTGAAATTGGAGACATTGAATCAGCTATTCTGAGCTAAAGAATCAAATGTAGTCTACAATTTTGTTATTCAGGGATGTGGGGGGGGGAGGGAACAAACGATTTGATACCCCCCCCCCCCGTGCTTTAGACTTTACACGCACATTTTTGTACGTACATGGGGCCTAGGCCCTAGGCCTACTGTGACTATTGGATAATACGGCCTGTATAGAGGAACTCACATTCAAGCATCTATCATTAGCCAAGGCATTTGCCAAGCTACATTTATTTATAGGAAAACAACAGACCAATTGGGGATACATCATGTATAATCCTACATTATGTATATCTCACCTTGCTGGGCATTCTTAATGGCTCGTATGTAATGTTTACGCTGCATCTCTTTCGTTTCACTTCGCCAATCTTCTAGTAATTGCTGATCTCTGCAATAATGTTACAATGAATATACACAGGCAATTACACAACCAATTCAGCCATTACACGTACGTGAGAAATGTTTAAGAAGCCAAAAGAACAAACAAATTTATTATTTCAAACTAAAATAAAAATACAATACCTATTAAAAGTTTTCAGCAAGAATTTCCAAACAAACATTGCATGTCTTGATTATTCCACAAATAAATAACTGTTGCAAAACTTAGGCCCCCCCCCCCAAAAATAGTCTGTCTCTGGTTAGCAGGCGCGTCAATTTTTATCGTGCGCGTCAACATAGGTTTTTATTCGCAAAATTTCTGCGCTAGCTACAACAGCGTCTTCTATTGCCGCACTGCCTCAAATATTCATGGGCAGCTCGTACCCAGTGATAGACCAGTATGAGGTTCATGTTGAATGAATGATAGTACACCATGGGTACGAAGTTGCTACCAGCTGATCAACAACAATGGCGGCCAGTCAACTACACACACCTATCAACACGATGACATACCATTTGAGAAATTGTGATTGTGAATTAAAGCGTGTCTAAATACATGAAGTCTGCCACTTATTTCCGTGTCCGTTGTTTGTGGAGTGACAACTCTTAGACCATTCGGTATTGTGTCATGTGTGACGGCTGTAAAATCCAAGCATGAACAAAAAAAAAAAATAACACTGCCACATCAATTTTGGAACTTTGGTCTGACTGGAGATCAAGTATTTTTTTTTTTTGGCCTAAAGGCTTTTTTTATATCAACCTCTTCTAAAATTCTTTGATGGGTTACCATGTCAATGAAAAACACTAGCAAAAAGCTAGATAAACAGACTGACAGACACACAGATGGAAGCCATTTGCCCACATTCTAGTCTGTAGATCACTCAAAAGGAACCTTATGATCTGTCTAACCAACTGTGTTGTGCTCTGACATACTTGGTAACACACATGTAGTGATCCAGTTTTCTTACTTTCGTCGTTGTTCAACGAGAGCTTGTTTTTGTTGAAGCTCTCTTAGTTTAGCCAGTCGCTTCTCTTCAGCCATACGAGACTCTATCGGGTCTATCAATGGTGGCGTCCTGATCTTCTTTCTCTTCTTCTTCTTACGTCTGAAAAATGGTAGTTCAATCATCACATTAAAAACGTATTGCTTGATCAATCTTTACAGCTATGATCACATGCCACTTCACATGTTCTTGAATTTCATATTCTGGACATTTGTTTGTGGCCTCATTGTGTGTGAATGTGCTAGGGTTATATTTAGTATTGCTTAAATAAATCTCCCTTGATGTAAGCAACATGTATCAAGTTATAAATAGTTTTCCATGTACTTTACAGTTAAGTGTGTAAGAGTGCAGTGGTCATTTTATCATGGTGTGCACTGCGGCAATTTGTGAAAAGTGACTGCAGCAGGTGTCAGATACATCATAAAGTGGCTATTAAATATTGTAATCATTCAAATTGTCTGCACTCCACACCACCATCCATGAACAAATCACCAACATATATGTATGCTGATAAAGATTTAGGTACATTCTACAATCAAATGTGAAAAGGCATATTAGGTACAATTTATTTGTACAAAGCCAAGCCTTGTGTGCAACTATAATAAGCTACAGCACGCTTTAATTTCAGCAAAATATCACAGACAATTGTGCGTATCGGAGAAACCTACAGCTCATGTCATTAACTTGCTGCAACTGTTTCAAACTTTTTCTGTCATATATGACAATCAACTCATCACAAGACAATGGAGACTAAATATATCACATTGATTGTTACTGTTGGACCACAAAAGACCGATCCACCAAACTCCCCCCCCCCCCCCCCCGATGCTTTGATCAATCACAGCCTTGATGAAATATCCAACAAGTGTGCACAAAAGTCTGACATGCGTGAGGGCGCATATGATGCGCACTGCTGGAACACGTAGTGTGGCATTGGGAGCAGCACATGTTGTTTCCCCACGTGCCCAGTGAGCGGGGCTGAGTGGACCAGTCTATTGGTATGATCTCAATTTTACTTACCATGATTTCAAACCAATGTACCAAATTTCAATTATGTTAAAAATCCCCTGGGTTTGAAATCCAATAATACATGTAGTCAATCTACATGCACAACGAGAGTTTCAATATGTCAGTATGCTTTTGTGCCCACAATGTGTGCTGTGTCATTTTCTATGTCTCTATGGGTGCGTTCGTTTAGCTCACCCGGAACGACTCGGGTAAAGGCAGATGGGTTAGCCACGACAGCTGGGCTAATTGAACGCTCAACCGCGGGCCATCACAATCCTCACGTGACGCCCGTAGCAACAGCCGTAGCCACTGCACTGACAAAGTGACAAAACACCTGGTTCACACTGGGTAATTAGTTTGTGGTCTATCTACTGCTTCTCTGTCAATTGAAAAAAATAACAAAGTTGGGCTGGAAGGATTACATAGAGCTAAATTAAATTACTAGAGCGCAAACTCGATGTACAAAGTAATGCCTGATGGGCGCATCCATGTTTGTGCACAAACCTATCGAAAACTCAAATTTTTGTACGGCTTTTGTACGGCTATTTGCATATCTGCGTTGTATTCCATACCGGTGCGTCATCGAAACCGATACGCCCAAAACCGAAACTCACGATCAGCAAATGAGCATTTCATTTTGCTCTACGCAAACAGCGCAACGTATGCGCATCTCTCCGCTGCAGATACTTTTCGCCGTGACGTTTTTCGAACCGTCATGACGCGCTTCAGTTGTTTGCTTATAATCTACTTGCGCATTGCATTTAGAGAACACTTTTAAAATTCAATAAATCTATTTTGATTGTGTTCTACGCACATAAAATTCAAACTGTCTCCGCGCCCAGAGCTGCTTCAAAGCGTCTCCGCGCGCAAGAATGAAGACTTAGCGCTCAAGTAATTTAATATAGCTCTATGGGCGGGAAGGATACCCTTTAAGGTCGCAATGAACTCAATAAATAATAACCTTTAGACTGCAATGAAGTTTATTTTTGAGTCCACTTCATATTTTCGCTGTCTGGCTGCCATATTTGTCCGTTTCTAGGGAATGAACAAAGCATGCGTGTGAGGTATTTCCACCAGTGACTCTGCTCCATGAGCAGGGTCTGTGGTGGCTGACCCGAGTGAGCCTGGAGTATGATGTCAGAGCTAATCGAACGCCACGGGGCTGACCCGTGTTGACCCGGCTGAGCTGAACACACGCACCCAAGACTCTAGCAAATGACAGAAGCTCAGTATAAGCCCTCTATGTGCATACCTATGACTAGTGAACTACGTACATGTGATAACATGACAAACTCATTGCAGCTGTCACACAAAATGCAGCTGATGTATGTAACACATGTCAATGAGGCTCTAGTATGACTGCAAAGGATCCTTGCTCATGGCATTGGTGCAACAAGTGAGTGTTGTGCACAATCTGAGCAATAATGTAGAATGCACTGCATGTATACTCACATTCTGCTACCAGCAGCTACCCTGCTTGTCATGCCTACATCAGCAAACCTCAATGATATATCCTTTGCACTGCTGTCGTATGCATTCATGATCAGTACATGTATGTTAAATCAATCATTATGTTTTACCATTACATTACCCTTCAGTATCATAGCTTCTATTTCTGCCCTCTGAATTCATGTGAACTAAGCCTATGTAACCACTTGATTGATGCTCAGTACATATATTTGTACCTGAACACCTGATATATAGTCAGGAGTGTATTGGTCTGGGTCTGCGTCCTCATGGTGAACATGTACAGACTGCAGTTAGATATGCATGTGCATGCTAACAACTCTCTAGTTCAAGATGAAGCGTCCACACAATAACACAGTGCATGGTACAAAAAAATGTACTTACATTTAAGAAATAACATACATTTTTAAGCCGCAGATGAAAGTTACTCTTCGGTGGGTGACACCCCCCCCCCCCTTTCTCGCTCGGGAATGCGGAATGAGAATTGGAGATTCTTACAGCCATTTTCATTAAATTGTTTTCAATTTTGGAGGTTTTTTGGGGGGTTATTTTGTTATTGTAATTCAGTACCAATGACTGCACAAGTGGTCTACTCATGCACATCGCTGTGGACCACAAGCACACACCTCAAGCTGGCTTCAATGCACATATATCAGTCTGGTTAGTGCAATGCAGATTAGTTCATAGGAACCAATGCATGCTAGGCAGTTACCTGACTATGAAACAAATTTCGTCTACTTTGACTAATTTTGCCAATTACTTTTTATACAACCATAGCTGTCAATTTTGGGGACATTGGGGCATTATGTTTTCACTGTGCAAAAACACTCCAAACAAATGCAAAGAACTAGCACCCAATGGTTGAAATTTTTAAGATTCTTCAAATTAAAAATCCCAAATTGTTCAAAACTACTCTTAAATACAGGCAAATTCATAGTTCTTACATTAGGCCAAAAAAAAAAGTCTCTGGTTTCTGGTATGGAGCTTGTCCAAAAAGTGGTGCGGCGACGCGGCTTTTTTTTTTTTTTACCCGACTTTTTTTTTTTTTACCCGACTTTTTTGCTTCAAATGTCGGCTGATGACTGCAAATGGTGCCCGACTAAACTTAGTGCAAATATATGGGAGTCCAGAGAGGCCACATAAAGCTTATTCTCGATCATAACCCCATCTAAAAACACGTTGAAATTGCGCAGCAGCAGAATTCCAGTCAAACCAGTGAGTTTGGCGGTTTTGAGACATCATCTTTCATTGAAAAAAAAACTTTTTCATTTTGCCAACGCGCATGGCTACGGCGACGCGCGCGCATACCAGAAACCGGAGACTTTTTTTTTTTGGCCTTATGGACCGATTTTTTATTACAATACAGGTTGGTTTTGGATTATTTGATTATGGGTCATACATTATCATATTCAGGTCTGATTAGTTAAATCGGCTGTCATTATTACATTTCAATAAGCCAGTTGGGTATTTCAACCGCGCATATGTGCACAATGATATGGGTCACGGGTCATTCGGGATAATCAAACGTTTCGAAGGCGCATATGAATGCGGCACACGACGCTTGCGTGTAAATTACCAGCAGAATGGGCGTGCGCGTAACATCGCGTAACATCACGTCAGCGATGTTATCCCAAATGACCTCGGGTCATTGAAATACCGAACTGGCCTATCGACGTTATGTGACTATTTCTGTTATATTTCTGGTCAGAATAAATGTTACATTATGGGTTGCAATGTAACAATTGTAATGCAGGATGCAATGTCCACCAGACAATATACTGAAACATGCAAATCAATAGAGAGATAGAGCTGACTTACTTCTCTCTGCCTAGCACACCAAGTGCCCCTGCTCTTTTAAACTTTTCATATTGAAGCTGTCTGTATTCCTCATATGTCATGTGACGATGTAAAGACACCGACGTTGGTCTTGGGAATTCCAAGTCCTCATTGCTACCGGCTGACTGCATAGAGTGATGACTGGCTGACTTCAGCTTCCTACTCTGTCTGCTGACTGCATCCTCATTACTCAGGTTGCCATGGTAATCATCATCACTCTCAGATGAGTTCCTCACCGAATCACTCAGATGCAGATCCTCAAGCTGCAGATCTACAAGTATATTTATACATGAATATTGTAAGATGAGTATTGAACAGTGGGTTTGTATTGTTATACCTGATGTTGACATGTTTCACTGCAGTACTGTCTTCACATCTTGTCGCCTATTTGCCAATTGACTTCAATTAATATTAATCCCAACTTTGTCCGAGTTATATTTAGATTCCTTGTGTCATACAAAGTCGTGAAAAAGTAAACATGATTGAACTCCGATGGACTGATTGGGCCAACAAAAAAATACTTCTGCTTCCAATTACATGGCATTTGAAAATAGGGTAGGTAGGTAGGGGAAACAAACATTATGCCAATTTTTTTTGTGTACGATCATATGGAGGCGTCTGCATGTAGTCAAGGGTAAAAGGTAGAAATTGATGGTTTTGGGTGTTTTTTCCTCATTTTTCCAATAACAAAATTAGGGTAGGGGCTGTCAGAATAGGGTAGGAAAGGAAACCGGAAGCAGAACTATTATTTTTTTGGGCCTTGCTTTGATATATACAACTGATTTTTAACTATCTCTCCTACTATACCAGCACCGTGCTGGATCCAAAAATGTCAAATACGTCCATCTGTTGACTTAAAAAAAAAAACGATTGTTTTTTTTTGTCAGTTAACCATAACTCCCTAGCGTCTTTTACTAGGAACTGGACCAAATCCATCAAAATCCATCAATCACTGTGCGTCTAATACAAAACTGTACATGACATAATGGAATCTACCACTGACGCACTGGTTGACATTCATGGACTTGCTACACATGGCTTTTATCACAAAAGCAGTACAGGAAGCTAGGCAAAATCAATCGCATACCCCTAGCACTGCTTCAGGCCATTAGGCCCAAGTCCATTGTACTCCATCAATATTTAGTCAAACCAGGCCTGCAGGACCAAGTCCCCCGAAATCCACCAAAATGGGGGGATGGATTTTGATGGAGTTGGGGGGGTTACGGTTAAAAGTGAAGAACAAACAATACTGAAATTATTGTCTGTATTAAGGCCGTTTTTTTAATAACTTGGATTACATATCGTGTATTGGATATTATTCAGCAAATAACACTTCAATGATTTGCATTTTCAAGTACCTAATGCTGATGAAACTTAAAGGGTCAAAAAAAGGTCACACTAGATTGACTTCTCATTTTCAAAGAATTGCCATCTTTAATCAAGCATAGAGAGTGCACTGTAGCTTAAGAAAGCTCAAATTTGCATCTGGTCTTGGTGTCCTTTCAGTCTAATCAAATGCCTTTTTTGGTGTATTTTTTGGTGACCAAAATTGTTACAAAACACCTTTCGGTGAAATAAGCTGGTCCAAAACACACAGGATACAACACAGTTACACACGTGGAGTAATTCATATAGAAACTAATGAATATTCATGAGAGGATGCCATTACCAGCTGCAGTGAGGCGGCGATCTCTGACACCGTGTGCATCTCTTAGATAACGCTGTATCTCCTTGACTCCTCTCTCAAGAACCTTGGGCGGGGGAAATTCAAGGGGATTCTTCTGAAGGTTCAATCCACAAAGCGTCTTCACAAAACCTACACATAGAAATCAACACCAAGAACAGCTGATACAATTGTTAACTACTCTTAACAAATTGTGATGAGGGACATCAGCAAGGATATCTGCACCTATGAGGATTCATAACACCCTGGGTTTTACTCAAGCGCCAGATTTTTCTCAGGTTTTACTTGGTTAGTCAGTAGTACCTCTAAATCTTCCCACCCCAGTGTAACAATAAGTGCAACAGCTTGATGTATTAATAAGTCACTTTGTTGATTAATAAGTCACGTACAATATGCCTGCCCCATGTAACATGTATCACTGAACTACTCTATTACCCAAGATGATCTCTCAACCAACCCCCAAATCCACTGTAGTTCTTCAACATGTTAAATACTTACCAAGTTCACAAGGGAGCTCTCGTAGTTGATTTCCTTCAAGGAGAAGTGTCTTCAAACACCTAGCAATAATTACAACGGATCCCATTAAACATTCATTCATAAATACCTGAGACAGTTCAACTTATGTCACTCTTCAAAACGTCATCAGCCTATGTTTCTTCACATTATGTTGGCAACAAAAATTAAAATCTTTAAAATATGAATTCACCAAAATTTAGCATATTACAATATTTGATATTTTTTGCAAATAATTTTGTGACTTAAAATTCACTTGGCATTCGTGTTCCTGTGAAGCATCGACCAAAAAATGATACCAACCATCATCATGATCATGTGCTTGTCCAGGCTCAATATACACGTGGCTTTGAGCTTTGACTGAAGAATTCAAACACAATTGGACACTAACCTGTGTTCCCCAATTGATGCAGGTAATTCCTGTACTTGATTGTTCCTCAAATCCAACCACTTCATGTTAGCTAGCATGACAAATAGCTCACTGGGCACATAGCTGATGGCATTACCCTCCAAATAAACATACTATTAGAAAGAAAATCAACATAACTCATACAGTTAGCAAAATACACACATGTAAGATTTCATTAGAAAAATGATTTGGCTTCATTGCATGCACACATGATAGTTGGTGTTTGGATTGATCTAACTTGGTTTCTTGAATGTACCTCCAAATGTTCCAGAAGAAAGACTTGATGTGGTATATGTGTCAAGCCTTTCCTGCTTATATCCAGTGTGATTGCTCCTAATGCTTTGGCTACAGCTATTGCATTCAGAACGTCTTCATGTGTTGCAGTTTCTGTGGCCGTTGATGAGTTATCTCCTGCCATAGTGAAGTCACCAGATTACCTGCAAAAAAAAATTACAGAACAATCAAATCAACATTAGGCCAAGTAAACAAAAAACCAGTGTCTTGTCTAACTTCCTTGGCATATTTGCTAGGAGTAGGATGTAACCTCAATCCTGCAAAATCCTCCTACTGCCGCCATGTAAAAAGTGCATACTGCCTCAATCCTAGCTGCAAAATCCTCCAGTAATCACTGCCAATATGGTGAGGCAGAGCCAGTGACATCCTGGAGCAGTGCGGAGGATTACAAGTATAATACATGTATAGACCTAAATGTATGCATGGCTGAGCATAAACAACACAAGGTCCGGCCCAAGACCTCGACACAGTGTATCCTCCGAAATGCAACACATCTTTGCCATATAGCCTCAATCCTGGAAAATCCTCCATTTTGCAAAGCGGATTCTGGAGGATTTGGGAAGGTAAGGGTTAATGCAGAATGGGCAAGTCATTCACTTCATCCCATTTCCACTGGAGGCGAGCTTCCAGAACCTTTGAATAGTAAAAGTTCTAGATTTGGCAATTTTTCTTTCAAATTATAACTAACGTTAGGATGTAGCAATACTTCTAGAACTTAAAGGGGGCTTTCATATTTATGGCAGGCAGTGGACATTTGGCCAGCACTAGTTTTCTTTTAGTAAACATTGTTTTCAAGGAAGCTTTCTTTGATTGGCTTAAGGAAAGACCTATATATATAGTTTGCCGGCGGTCATCTTTGATTACTCTGGCAAACTACATTAAGGCCTACCAAAAGAAAGCCAGCTTTTTTCTTTCTTTTTTTCTTTTTTTCTTTTTTGTGTAGGATCATATGCAGTCAAGGGTAAAAGGTAGAAATTGATGGTTTTGGGTGTTTTTTCCCCTCATTTTTCCAATAAAAAAATTAGGGTAGGGGCTGTCAGAATAGGGTAGGTAGGGAAACCGGAAGCAGAACTATTATTTTTTTTTGGCCTAATCATAATGCCATATGCTGCGTTCCAATCACATCAGATCATGTTTCTTGTGTTCACAAGTCGTTTTGGAGCTAGAGTTTCTCTAGACCCGTGAACGTGGTGTTGTATACAAGCCATGTTCACGGGTCTAGAGTTTCTCAAGCTACAGCTAGGTCGCTGGAGCCGTGGAGTAGGTAACGTTAGACCGTTAAACATGGCGGTTTAGTACTATAACTTTTTGGACCTGCCAATGCTGCTGGTTTTGGTGAACAACTTCCTCCAGCCCTTATGACAACCCAATGATAAAATTTAGGGCTGGGTAACTCCAGCTAACTTGACACCAGGCTAGTACTAGTACTAGTAGGATGAACGGGAACAAGTACAACTACAACAAGGGGATGTTACAAGCCAGCTAGACTGGTTTCCTGACCTTACTGCTTACAATTCCCTGACGTCTATAAATTGCTCCGTTTCATCGTATGTAAAACAATCATGTTCCTGTAGTCTGGTTTCCTGACCCCACATAATATGTGGGGTCAGGAAACCAGACTACAGGAACACGATTGTTTTTCTTGGTTTTTCCAGCATCTACGAACACAAAATTTCAAACAAGTCAGTGTGACAATATTTGCTATAAAATGCTTTACCCCCCAAACCCATCCATTTCTGAAAATTACCGCAAAAGCAAATGTTGTATATTCCCTTTCATTAACGATCGCGATACTGTACCAACCATGCGAAGGTTCCCCAGTCCCAGCCAGCCGGTCAATGCTGTTTGCATGGCATCCTGCCGTATCACCGATATTAACGTGCGCAGAATTTGAACCAGACTAGCCGGAGCTGAATTGCTGTTAATGTTGCTATGGAAGCCGGCCTTACCGAGTTTATCGTTGACAAAAAAAGTTGTAAACTTTAATAATCATGCATGCGCCGCGATATTTTTTAAAGACTGTTACACTAACGTAGCCTAATTGGATGGGATGTGTGCACGGGGGGCAAAGCCCGGGGCCAACCCGACGCCCGCACGTGCTGGTGCCCGCTCCTTTGCCGCGGCTACACCACCCGCCCCCGCGGCCGCAACCGCTCGGACAGTGGCGTAGCCGGCCGCAGCGCAGCCGAGGCGGCGGAACCGGGGAGCAGAGGGGCACCTGCCCCCCCCCCCCCCCCCCCGATTTTCCCAGGCCAACAAAAGTGCCCCCGTTTATCGAATGTGCCCCTCCGAGATGAAAACACGTACCCATGAAAGCATAAGGATCGCACTACAAATAAAATTGTCTCTCGCGATCTTGCAATGCAAAACTGCCCCTCAAAAACACAAGTAGGCATACCCCTCTCGCATTAACTCGAGATGGAAAACTACCCCTCTCTAGCTGGAAAATTGGCCATCAAAAACAATAGTGCTCCTCTCGCGATAACTTCTCGATGATTGAAAACTTCCCCTCGAAAGCACAATTACTTACACGCTCGATCGCAACATTGAAATTGTTCCGAAAAACTGGCCCCTAGTATCTTCACTGAACTGGCTCTCGCTATTAAAAAAAAAAAAGGTCTCTCTACATACATGTAACTAGGTAAAAGTAACACAAAGAGCAATAGTCCAGGCAATATAAGGTTTGTCCTCAAACAAATTGCAACAGATTTTTTTTCACCACAGTGCATTTCTATAAGGTCCCTAAAATGACATACTAATTAAAAGTCCAAAAAAATCCAAGTGGTGGAAACATGCCTAATTTGCATAAATCCAAAATGGCCGCATATTTTAGGATTTTTACATTGATTTGGTCATATTTCTCATACTAGATAGCTTCTTGAGGAACTTCAAACAATAAGTTTAGTCCTTGTACATTGATTTCATCATTATTCAAGTCCTATGTAAATTTCAAGATCCCTATGTTTCCTAAATTTGCCAAATGCGGTGTAATAATTTGCCGTGATAAATGCCATAATAATTTGCATAAATTAAAGTTAAAATTATTGTTGTCATGTGTGGACATGTCACAATTGAATTTTCTCTAATAACTTCTAGTTTAGTTATGTATCACACCACAGAGCATCTCTATGTGGTCCCGAAAAAAAATAAGTAAAAAAAATCCAAGTGCTGGAAATAAGTCTAATTTGCATAAATTCAAAATGTCCACTAATTATATGATTTTCATACTGATTTGGCCATAATTCTCGTCCTACATAATTCTCGTTTTACATTGATTTCATCATTTTTCTAGTCCTGGGTACCTTCCGAGATCCCTATGTTTCCCAAATTTGCCAAATGCTGTATTATAATTTGCATAAATGCCTTATACTAATTTGCATAAATTCAAATAAAGTAACGTTGAAGTTACAGCACAATTAGGATCTGTGTTGGGACTTAGGCCATGAAAAAATGGGTTGCGGGGGTAACTATTCATCAGGTTTTGCACTTTTATTGAGTCTGATTTAAGAGGCGAAAGATACATATTGAGTAATCTTCATCCAAGAACAGAATGACAAAGTTAAATACTAATTCTAAACAATTAACAAGGAACAAGTAGCAAGTCAATTAAATAAAAACACAATTATAGTTAAAGTCGCAATTATTTAAGTGGTTCTCGCTAAATCATTAATATCAGTTTCGTTTATGCAACTCCAAAATTCAAAATACGGAATAGTAAATGAAATGAAACTGTAGCTTAACTTCTTATCATATATGATTACTGTGAAGGGAGAAAACAATGGTACTTTCCCTGATAATCCAAGTTCAGTTATGAATACAGAAATATCACAAAGATCCATATTGGCGACCTTTCATCCATATTGGCTTGCATGCAATGTTAGTCTGGTTGTTATCATCTACACGTACATCTTTGTATCTTAGAATGAACACTTATGTGGCAGACTATAATCTTCAGCAGCATTAGGATCAATGTCTGGTTGTACGTAGGCGAGTTGGCACAACTAGTGCCACGGCATTCAGTGCAAGCAGTTGTACAAGAGAGGCCATACTTTCGGCAGTGCAGTTTCTATCCGCACAAGTCTTTCTTACACCCACATCTGATGACCTCAAGTAGTGATGGTGGTGCTGGCGGTTTGTCCGTTTGTATGGAAAGATTTTGCCATCAATGACCTGCCAACCCCTATCTGCTGGAGGCAATTTGTTTACTTGTAATCACATGATAACAATAGAAGTTAAGCTACATTTTCATTTCATTTACTATTCTGTAGTTTGTAATTATGAGTTAAGTGATTTAGCGAGAACCACTTGAATAATGAAGATTACTCAATTCGTATCTTTCGCCTCTTCTCCAATATACAGATCAGACTCAATAAAAGTTCGAAACCTGTGGAATAGTTTCCCCCGCGACCCATTTGTCATGGCCTAAGTCCCAACATGGGTCACAATCAGTGTGCCATAATTGTAACTTTACTTTAATTTATTTGAAATTATGCAAATTATTATACGGCATTTGGCAAATTTGGGAAACATTGGGATCTCGAAAGGTACCCAGGACTAGCATAATGATGAAATCAATGTAAAAAGACAAATTGTTGCTTAAAGGGAATATACAACATTTGCTTTTGCTGCAGTTTTAAGAAATATATGGATTTGGAGGATTAGTATGTTATAGCAATTTTGTTGAACTGACTTGTTTTACGTTTTGGGCTGGTAGATGCTGGAAAAACCAAGAAAATCAATCATGTTCTTGTAGTCTGGTTCCCTGACCCCACTTACGATGAATCAGAGCAATGTATAGACGTTGGGGAATTGTAAGGTCAGAGAATCAGTCTAGCAGGTTTGAACTCTTTCACAGGTGTGTGATCAATTGCACCAAAAAAAGCGGAATAACTAAATTTGAAAAATTAAGAGCAGTTTTTGAAAAAAGCCAGTTTTCTCCAACGCTGGTCAGCCGACCAGCATTTGAAAAATACAATTTTTCTTGAAAATGTCAGCACACCAGGAGCTACGATTTTAAAGGATGCTTTTAATTGACTGTCATTCCCTCACAATCCAGTAAGGTATTTCGTGATAATGTGATCGTTTCGTTTTTTGATGTTTGCAAATGTTTTATATTCCCTTTAAAGCACCCCAAAAAGCAATGTAGGACAATGTTTTTAAGTGGTCATTTTGAATTTATGCAAATTAGGCATATTTCTACCACTTGTATTTTTTTGGACTATTTTAGGGGCCTTATAGAAATGCACCGTGATATTTATGTATAAATAACTGAACTTGGATTATCAGGGAAAATTGAATTGTGACCACACATGGCAGCCATAATTTTAACTTTAATTTATGCAACTTAATATATGGCATTTATGCAAATTAATATACGGCATATGGAAAATTTGGGAAACATGGGGATCTTGAAAGTTACCTAGGACTAGAATAATGATGAAATCAATGTAAACGGACTAAAATTGTCGTTTTAAGTACCTCAAAAAGCTATCGAGTATGAGAAATATGACCAAATCAATGTGAAAGTCCTAAAATTTTCGGCCATTTTGGATTTATGCAAATTAGGCATATTTCCACCACTTGGATTTTTTTGGACTTTTAGTATGTCATTTTAGGGACCTTATAGAAATGCACTGTGTTGAACAAAATTCTGTTGCAATTTGTTTGAGGTTCACTCAAAAAATGAAGTATTTTGCCTGGACTACAAGATGGACAACGTTCCTCGTCATAGCTAGGGGTGCACTGAACTAATTCAAGCTAGCCCCATTGAAAACAGTGTAAAATTATTAATTCAGGGTCAAATATATTAACATGCAAGCCGACATCACTGGGGTTTCTCAAATAACAATTAAATTATTGTCTTGTCCTTCATCTGTCCATTTCTCTGAAATTTTTGGTGGGTTAGCCAGTTACATTTTTAAATATTCACACCACAACAAACTCACCTCCCGAGAAGTGATACTTCCCAAGACTGCATGCAGCCATTTTACAAATGGATCCTCAGGCAAATAGGACCCATTTTTCAACCGTGAGTCAAATCAGTCTCAGATGCATGGAAGCCCAAAAAACAGGGAGTTGATCCCTAGCTATATTTACACAATTTCACCCTTTTTAAGCCAAACAGTCTCCTTTTTCAAAAGAAGTTGTGGGGGCACTTTTCATTCTAATGAGCTCGTGTAGAAACTTCAATTAGGACCTACTTCACTGCACCCGTAGGTTAATAGCGAAATGAAAACGGGACCATCTTCTTTTTCTCCAATTTCACACCGACGGAAGGTGCCCCTTTTTCTGAGCAAGTGCCCCTTTTTGGTGTCCCCCCCCCCCAAGTTTGAAAAGCGTTCCGCTACTGGCAAAGAGGGGGGGGGGGGGGCCTTGGGGGCACGTGTCCCCCACAAATTCCCAGTGCCCCAGGATTCACCAGGATTGTTTCCAGGGGGGGGGGGGGGCAAAGTAAGTTTGTCCCCAAAATTCCTTAACTTTTTCATTATATTCTTAATTTATCATTTTTTCCAAGCGTGAGCAGGGGAGCATTTGCCTAACACCCCCTCCCCCAATCAAATTAACATCAATATTGCTTCGCACCTCTTTTTCCTTTTTTCCCCCTCTTTTTTTTTTTTTTCGTTTTCGGGGGGGGGGGGGGGGGAGCGCCCAATAACGACGAGAGCCTTGACCAAGGCTAGCCTTGCCCCCCCTCGCGACGCCCAATGCCCCCTCCCCCAGCTCCCCCATACAAAAAAATCTGAAATTTCCTACTTTCCAAGGTCATGTCAAACAAATAAAAAGTATTTGTTTGAGTTATTTAAACGAAGAGAATTATTGTACTTAACTTCCCTGAACAGCACGGCTTTATGAAACGGTGAATAAATTGATAAGAAAAAAGAGCGCCCTCTAGTGTCAAAAGAGGTCCCCCTTTCGAATTTGCTGCACTTGGTGG